ATCTCCTTGCCATCGACGACCAGCTTCTTGTCAGCAGACAGACCGACTTCGCCCTTGTACTTGCCGTGCACGGTGTCGTACTTGAAGAGGTAGACGATGTACTCGGGATCSAGGAAGGGGTCGTTCACAGCAACGACCTGCACGTTGGGGTGGTTGAGGGAAGCCCTCAGGACCAGCCTTCCGATGCGGCCGAAACCATTGATGCCGACCTTGACCACCATGTTCGCTCGCGCGCTTGCTCGACCTTCACACAATCGATCAACTCGCGAGAGAGGTCGACCCCCTGCTGCACACCGACCACTGGAGCGCTTCCGAACACGCAGCACGAAGACGGCTTGAATGCTGCCGCTGACAAGTGAATGGTTGGAGAGTGTGGCCGCCGACGGACCCTATATGCGCTTCCGAACGTCGGAAAACCGCTGGCAGGGAGACTGCGGATCGTCATTCTTTCTTTTCTTTTTTCCTTCTCTATTTTTATTCTGCTTTGTTCTTTAGATACATCGTGCCTATGGGCATTACCTTCTTCCCCGAGCACAACGCACCCTGATGATCAATGTTTGCTCATGATGAGGATGCGTTGTTTTCGGGGGAAGAAGGTAGTTATAATATTCAGCTCTGGGCATAACTGAGGTTAGATACATCCGCAGTTTGCCGTAATTCCTGTGTGCATCTGAACAGTCGGTGTGGAGTATCTTTGCGAAAACGACAAAACCTATGGTGGGTGCATCTTTCCCTGTTTTTGCAGAAAATACATGCTCCATTTTGCACATTCCCGGAAGTGGTGTGGCGAGGCGGTAATTGTGCGGTCACGGACTGGAGTCTCCATACCACGCACGGAAAGAAAAACATGTGGAGTGCATCTTGGAAATTGCATCCTTTTCTATAAACAGGTGGCAGATGCCTTTTTTTTTTTTTTTTTTTTTTGGAGAAAGGATCCACTTGATTTCTCATGGATGAGGCGAGAGGCGGCCGACGAGCCTAAAAGTCTTCCCTCGATAGGGGGGTAAGGCATCTGGTGATAAGTAACCCGACTGTTCTTTTGGTAAAAAAAAAGAAAAAAAAGTAATTGCCGCCGGCTCCTCACAATTCCCCTAAGGGTAACCGAAAACCCCCTTCCTGCCAAAAACAGTTTATTCTCATTCAGCCAGGCAAGAGGAAATATGAACGCTTCGTACAAGTCTGCAAAGCACTATGTAGAATCCTCCAGGCAAGAGGAAATATGAACACTTCGTACAGGCCTCAAAAACAGTCTATTCTCCATACTACGCACGGGAAGAAAAACATGTGGAGTGCATCTTCGCATCTTCGCACGGAAAGAAAAAACTGGGAGTGTGTTTTCAGCTGAGATTGGCGGTTTTGCTGGATTCACTGGATTGGGCTCGAAGAGTCAAAAATAAAAAACCAGGCAAGAGGACATATCAATGGTTTCTGAGAACCTGGGGCCAGAGAAACCAGCTGGCATCTATCAAAATGCAGGGACCACTAGTACCTTTGGCGCGTGGGAAAATAGCAGGCCTCCGATGGGCCACCGACCTTTTCGGAGGCCGAAACGAAACGACGGCCACCGATCAGATTTATCAATGGCAGTCGTCGTCGGGCCCGACCTCCGAAAATTCAGGTGGTTGGGAAAACAGCCAGTTTTCCCTATTTTCCCACGCAAGAAAGGTACTAGTACCTTTGCATTCCTACCTAGCACTAGTACCTTTGCATCCCTACCTAGCCGCAACACCCCGAGTAGAATAGCCCTTCAAGTTGCCACCTGAGCAATATAGCCCCATCCATTTTGGGTGTTCAAGTTTGTTGGTGTGCGGCCTGTGATACGCAACCTCACGCCCCCTCGCAGCTTCCCGTACGGGGTCGCCGATCAGAGTTCTAGGAGGGGCGTGGCCAAGGATTTTTGGCCTTAAGGGTTGAGTCTCCCGGACGGAACGGGAGGCCCTCGTTTCGTGCCAGAGGTTTTCCCTGGAGTCGAACTGTCGTCGAGGAGTCCCGTGGGGTTCGGATCACTCCGAAACGATAAACTCAAGAAAGGTTTCCGCAAAAATGAACTGTCGTCATGCATCGGGACGGAAAAAGGCATCAAGGGGAGAGGGACATGGCGGCGGAGGACAAAACTTCGGCCGTCAGGGGTCTGGGGGATAGGTGGCGGGTTCGAAGCCTTCAGGCCTCATCATCGGCCTCACAAAGTGGCCGAACCCTCGGGTCCTTGCTGCGGAGGTGGTTGGTTCGAGGCCTTCAAGCCTCGGCGTCGGACTCACAGAGTCCGAGCGAAAGTTTCCGGGAGGGTAAAGCGGCGGGAGGACTCGCCGGCATCTGAATTCGAAATTGCGCGGGCAGCGCCCCCGCACTACGGGAAAGCTCGGGGAAACGTGTCGCTCCCTCATAACCCAGGACCAGCCGTCGCCAAGAACACGAGTCCCCCTGGCGACACAAGTGACAATCAAACTGCGGCTGCCACGCGGCGTCAGCGGCCGACTAGGACAACACCGTCAAACCCGTATAAGGCAATATTAAAGTCGGGGAATCAAAACGATCAATCAAAACAAACCCGTTCCCCCTTATCTCACAAGCTCGAGGCGGGTCCTGCCAACACACTTGCTCCGTCCGCCTCAGCGCGCGCCGAAAGTCCGCATCGCAATAGACGCTGTCGTCATCTGCGATGGGGAAGGTCGGTAGCGAGATGAGACGATCGGAGGTACGTGATGAACACGGGCAAAGTCCCGCGTTCCCGGTCATCCGAACCAACACTGAATCCATACAACAGTCATCGCAACTCCTCTCCTTTAAGGTGGGTGCGTCGAGGGAAGACGACAAAGTCTAAGCTCTCTCCCCTCTCTCCCCTCGCGGGGGCGTCGACCGTCCGCGCGGAGGCAAGCGGTTGACGTCACCGGTACGGGGGCGAGAAGCTCCAAAAGCGAAAACCATCAGTTCAAAAAGGAAAGCATGAGAGAGAGAGAGAGAGAGAGAGAGAGAGAGAGAGAGAGAGAGAGAGAGAGAGAGAGGGTGAGTTGCGCCGAGACCGTGCGAGAGCGCAGAAAAGGCCGCAGAGGGGAGGGGAACAACCGGATCAACACACTCATACTCCTAAGCAAACGGTCCCCCAGTTCAGCTACTCCATCCCCGCCCGGATGAGTACATACACACATACATGCATGCAATCAACAACTCTTGACAGGACATCTAGTCATCCATGAACCTTCGACATCACTCGTGGGCACAACCAGCTCCCATCACTCGGGGCTTCACACACACGACATGCATGGACAAAGCAGCAATGGAGATAAAAGCGAGTCCTTCTTGTACACAAAAATTTCAATTAGCTGCTGCCCCCAGGCGCAGCCTTCAAAACTTCCCAAGACCACCGACCACCATAGCCACAATGCCCTGCCGCGGCCGGCGTCCAATCCCCAGCACTGCTCGGTCCCTCCGACTGCTTAGCCCCGAGACTATCGCGGGGCCCACCCCACGTCGTCACTCCGCCCGTCCTTGGGCTTGTCGAGCCTGTTCAGCGCTGCAGACTCTCGCGCATAGCTCGCGCAGCATTGCAGCCGAGATCAAAGAGATGGAGAGGAGGGGGTTGCGCAAATTTATAGCGCGGGAGGCGGCGGGTTAACGACGCGAGGTGCGGGCAGCGCAGGGTGTAGATGAGCAGGACAGGAGAAAGAGGTGGGGAGTTAGAGGGTTCCACCCGCGGGATTGCATGGCTACATGATTGGGGTGTTCGTCCAAGTGGTGCGCGATTTCCCGCTTTCCACATTGATCCGTGCATCCCTACTACGCAGCGAATCACTTCGCGGAGGAAGACGGGGTAAGGATTAAGCTGGGCGTAGGGGAAGATGAAGAGTCCTGCATGGGGAAAACGCGCGCGGCAAGAAGGGAAGATGACGCGAGAATGCAAAGCAAGAAACGGGGATGCGAGACGCGCGAAGAAATCGGAGCTTGGCGCGCGCGCAAAAATTCAAAAAGTCCCAACCGCACCCGTTTCTTGGTTTTCATACCGCGGCCGCTATTCGCCCACGGGAGTTATTAACCAAACAAAATGAAAAAGTCGTTTCAAAAAGAAAACAAAAGCAAAAAGAAAGAAAACCCCCTTTCTATCTGCGTCCGTACTTTGGGGCTTTTGTGGGATTTTTCCTCAGGGATACGGCAAGCCACGCAGTACGGATCTGAGCTTATCACATCTGTGATACGCAGGGGGTTCCGAAAAATTAGCAGTCTCCTGACTGTTGATTCCATCATATCATGGATGATCAGGCGGCCTCTTCATCGTCAGCTGGCCCGATCGGTAAGTAAAAAGAATTGTATATATATATATATATATATATATATATATATATATATATATATATATACAGCGCGTATCGTCGCGCAAGCTTTAGATCCGGAAAAGATGAAGAAACAGAGGAGAAGGAGAAGGACAGGACAGGGGAGAGGTAGACGAGGGTGATCAGAGGAAGTGATCTATGTCGGGGTTGAGAGGGGGCGGAATAGGTGGAAGAAAAGCGGCCATTGCCGCAGGAGTCGTCGGCGCATCTTCSTCATGGAAGTGATGCTGGACGAATGAGGGGTAAAGGAAAGCCCCCGACACATGTGAGAGGGCACGTGGCGCCAGATCCGCTACCGCTCGCACCCTCCGCTTGCGCACCGATCGGGGCCCTGGACCCGTCATCACCACATAAGTCTCAGTGTAAGGCCGCCACTCCCGCTTCTGCGCCACGAAGACCGGAAAGTGGTACATCGCATTTGGACGCTGCCCGGTCTCGTAGATGAGCGTCCCAGCCAATCGCGCCGCAATACACCCTTGGAAAGGGGGTGTCAGATATGGCTCCCACGCCGGATCAAGGCGCGGCGCCCCCGCGATGGCCTCGAGCCGGATGGTGGCGGGCTCCACCATGAAGTCCACCTCGGGTGGATGGACCGTCCGACTCAGATAAACTACTAATGTCAATGACCGGGGCACCCCGGGGTGGCTGGCGGGAACAGAGAGGTCCCGCGAGGACGGGGGGTCCGGATATGGGATCCGGAAATCCCGTTCTGCTTCCTCCTCCGGATGCTGCTGATGATGATGGCCCGGCTCCATCAAGATTGAGATCGGGCACATGCGGAATGGGTGGCGATGGCACGATAGTCTCCTTAACGAGCGTCGCTGCACTCCCAGGCACAGGGTCAGGAATCTGCGTGCGCGCAGGCTGAATCACCTCCTCGCCGCCGCCGATCTTGCTGCCTTGCGCTCCTGGCGATGGGTGGCGTCTCTTCCTATTAGGCGTCTTCTTAGGGGCCTTTGGTGGCGCTGGTCGAGGATACGACGAGGGAGGCCACAACGGCCTTTCCTCCGGGAAGTCCTGCAACCTCTCCGCCCGATGCGCAATGAAATCCGGGATGACGACCACGTTGTATGTCCTCCGCGGGGCCGTTGCTGTCCGCAATCGTAGTTGGATCTCCTCCTCCTCGCTCGTGATCACTTGCGCAATGGAGAGGAGCTCAAGGTGTATGAGCTCCAACAATCCCAGATCGATCGTCTGGAGCTGGGCGAAGGGGTACAGCGCCACCGTCCCTTCCTTCTCAGCTAGCTTGGGCCGTGCGATGACGTAGTAAACGACGAAGTGCTCCCCGATAGCGTGGTCTTCGTGATCCACGAAGAACCGGAACATCCCCAGCGCCACCGACTTGTATAGCGCACGGTGCAACTCCCATGCGTCTTCGTCGGCGAAGGGCAGCGGCTCCACGTCAGTTAGCTCCACCAAATACTCTGAGAACTCGCGCATGGGGTAAGGGCCCTCCGTGAGCTGGTGGGGGAGGGTGGTGTAGGAGAAGAAAGGAGGCATTTAGTACGGGACAAGGGGGAATAGCTTGGAGGTTGAGAGGAGCACAAGGAGGGAGAAGCGCGGGGAGCTGCGGCACCAACGCAATCGGTTCATCCTTTGCTCTACGAAGCAGCACTTCGTGGGTTGTGAATCGGTGTCCCCCCCGTCCTTGCACTCTGGCCACTGATCTGGCCGCTTCCACCGCGTATTCGCGCACAAACCTGCGCGTCGGCTCCCGATTCTGATGCGGTAGGACCGTCAAGTCTCCGATGAAGGTGGCGACGCTGTGCACGAAGTTGGGTGCCACCTGGAGCGCACGGTCGTCTGTCGGCCAGGCAACTGCGTCACGTCCACGTACACTCCCGCATATGTTAGCCGATCGCAGAGCAACCAGTACGCTGCCAAAGCAGCAACCCCGGGCGCTGGCACGTTCACCTGTTGGATGTCGTACCGCAACTACCTCTCCTCATTAAACCGATGCCGCAACAAGCGATCTGCAAGCGACGTCTGGAAATGCTCGAGGGGCTCATGCTCCGGCTGGCGATGGTTCATCCTGTTCCCTGAAACTCTCAGCACCAATGGACGAGGCAGATCGGGAAGAGGAGGAGGATGAAGAAGGAGAGGGTGATCTCGCAGGAGCGGGGGTCCGTAGGGGACCTAGCGATGGCTGGAAGGGCCGGAGCGTGGCAGCGTGCCGTGTCAGCGGTCGGGCCTAGGAGTTGTGACGGGGAATCAGCTTCWCGGAGTGCTGTCCCTGTGCGCCAACTTCTGTGACCTCGTAAATGCCTGTGTAGCGTGGGTGGATCTTGGAGGAGCGCGCAGATTTCCGTACCAGCACCAAGTCCCCAACTTTATAGTGGGGCAGTGGTCCCGCCGACGCGTGTCGATTCTCGTAGTCACGGATCTGCCGTTGATGTGTCTGATCTACGGCCTGCTGTCGACGGCGAGCTAACGGGGGATAGGCCCTAGCCATTAAGTCCATGTAGTGGCGGGCCTTGTCTCGATTCTGGGCCCGTGTTGCTCTAACTTCCGTACCAACTAAGGGGGACAATTGCACCCGAGAGACACTATTGGTTCTTAGTTGAAAGGGGGACACCCCAGTACTACCGTGTGGGGTAGCCCGATAAACGACCAAAATGTGATCGACAATGACCGGCCAGGGTCGAGTGTCTCCCGCAGTGATATTCCGTCTAATGGCCGTCTTAATCAGTCAGTTGGCATTCTCTACCAGGCCGTTAGCTTGAGGCCAATGCCCCGGCGAGTATATAATCTTAACGTCCGCCCTGGCTAGGTGACGTTCTACTTCGCTTTGAAATTCCGACCAATTGTCCATGTGTACCTCTTCTACGTCTAGATGCATGCACAAAAATCGATTTACGTACCAGGCTACTTCCTGCGAATTCCGGCTGGTCATAGGGTTTGCCTCGATCCATTTTGAAAAATGATCGACGACCACTAAAAGAACATTGAGTTCTCCCTGATCGACGGGCCCTCTCGGAACGTTGATATCCGTCGTATCGATGCTAACCTTCTAAAAGGGGCGCTGTCGGCGCGAATACCCTTACAAGGGTATCCACGCTGGTTTTTGCAAGCGACAGAAAATGGTTCTGGTTTGAAGTCTGAGTATACCGCGCTAGGCGCGGCCGCGTCTGTGATTTACGATTGACTGGTTGGTTGGCTAGTATAGAGAGTGCGTGGGCGCGCAGGTTTAAGGCGCGCGTGATTCGTCTCCTGACGTTGATTACGAAACCGGCTCGGGGCACCGGTCTGTTTATTTTTATTCCTATCTCTAAGTTTTTATTTTTGGTTGCTCTTGATTAAACTAGGAAAAAGGAAATATTTTCTTTCAATGGCTAACGTTGACCGAGTCGAGCGTGCGTGCGGAGAACGGCCCCGACGACGGTACCGGCAACGACGGCGTGACTTCGGGCGGTGAGCGGGGTGTCGTAGGATGATGCGCGGGGTGATTATGGCACAGTATAAGCAAGCCGGTGTGGGCACCGGGGGCCGCGCAGCTGGGTTTTTGACCCAAAACGCCGCGCCGCACCGCCTCATATGGGACTCCGCGGAGATGGGTTTCAGGCTTGGGCTTAGCCCTATAGCTTACGGCACAAGGTTGACGATACAGAGGAGCGGGGATCGAGGCCAACAGGCGTTAGCGCAGTAGCTGCAGCGGAGCGTCGCGGAAGGGACCTGTGGGGTCGAGGGCCGCCAAGGCTATCCCCCTCAGTTTTGCTTATGGGTGCGGTGGCGGGCCCAGTCCGCGGGGTTGGCGATGTGCCAGCAGCCCTGCGGCCGCCCGACCCGCAAACGGGCGGGCCTGAGCGCTCGCCGGAGAGTTAAGGCTGTATGAGGCACCGGAATCCGGCCTCGGAAGGGGGGGGCAGATTCGCGAAGGTGGGAGGTCGACTGGCTTTTGGGGGAGCCGCGGGGCATTGCCCCGGTCGAGTTCTTCGGGACATCCGTTAAAAATTGGGGCGAGATGCCCTTCTCGGCCTTCTGACCAAGGTCAAGTGTTGTATCGGTTCAGATCAGTTTAATATCTGATCCGTGGTAGATCGGACCACACATAAAAAGAAAAGGGGTTGAAACCACCTGTCGAGCGCATCGGTCCGGCGCCGCACGCGGCAGCGCGGGACCCTCTCGGCCGTGTCACGCAGGAGTTGGATCAACCTCGTCACAGACACACAAATGGAGCTTCCTTAGGCCGCTCCGGCCGAGTGCGCCAGCCATACCTCTCGTAAGCTCCTACGACAGGATAGGGCCTACGCGAGGCACAACTTACCTCCACCTTACGGGAGCTGTCACCTCCCTTCGGTGGGCGTATCCCAGCCGAGCTACCAGTCCACAATAGGAAAGCTAATCAATTGCAATCGCAGAGGTGGACCGGTAGCTCGGGGGGGATACGCCCACTGAAGGGAGGTGACAACTCCCGTAAGGTGGAGGTAAGTTGTGCCTCGCGTAGGCCCTATCGTGTCGTAGGGGCTTGCGAGAGGTATGGCTGGCGCACTCGGCCGRRGCGGCCTAAGGAAGCTCCATTTGTGTGTCCGTGACGAGGTTGATCCAACTCCTGCGTGACGCGGCCGAGAGGGTCCCGCGCTGCCGCGTGCGGAGTCGGACTGATGCGCTCGACAGGTGGCGCCGTTGTCGGGGATAACCGCTCCCTACCGTTGTCCCTGGTGGAACGACATCCGGGTATGAAACTGAGAAATAGGCAAGTGAGAAGTCTTGGTAGACTCGTATGAGCGATTGGCTAATATTTTGAGTATCGTTGGAAGTACTGTAAAGACTTAGAGGTACTTAGAAGTCGAGCCCTGATTCGAGGCAGGCTGATAATCTGCGGGGAAGGACCGCATTTGCTCTATTGATTGGGGTAGGAGGAGCGAATGATTGCATATGGTATTGGATAAGGCATGAAGCGAGAATTAATTCCGTGAGTGGGGTTTGAGGGGTGCAGTAAGGGTTGCTTGAGATTGATAGGCGCCGTGATTAGGGACTGTGCGCACCATCTAGTATGCGATTAAATGGGGTTGAAACGCCATTTTTCGGGTAAGGCTTGCGGGCTCGATTCGGCTAGGAGCGAGTAAGGTGGCGTGGGCATTACTAAGTATGCCTATGATTGGAATCCAAGGCTAATTGACTTATTACGGGTTTGGTGTGTCGAGCCTGCCTTGGGCGATGGTCAAGCTAAGATGGAGCATCTGCACTAGTCATATGATCCCTGCTTTAGAAAAAGTTGTCGATATGAGCGCGGCATGGATGAGAGGATAATTGATAAAGTGCGGAGTGTAAGAATATTTCCTTGAGCCCAGGCTGGGTTGTGGTGTGATAGGTACTATGACCAGTACAATGCTTAGACTCGTCGATAATTTGAACTGGTGATGATTTGAGTCGCTTGTAAACTGCCTGGCTAACTATCGATAGAGTTCGACAAGTAGTGGCCACCAGGATAGCGGTCTGGCTAGTCCAAAGAGAAGCCTATGTGTAAATTATATGTGATATATGCATGGCATTTATGATTGGTTGTTTGGTTGTCTCCATATCCATTGTGTTTTGTATGTTGTTTGATTGGTGGTGTATGTATGAATTGTCTTTCACGGGGACATAAATTTTGCATGAAACCCACGCCTGGCATGGGACCAGGGGTGAATGGGGTGACTTACTTCTGTGGAAGGTGGTTCTTCCGAAAAGGAGTTAGTCGGCGTGTATAGTTTGTCCCTAGCGGAAGTGCATTCTTGAGTTGTTACTCCCTCGATGAGACTTAAGGAAGCGGTTATTAGTCTCGAAGCTGATAGTGAGACCCACGCCGGAACTATGTTCCTGGTCTATTAGTGGGGTGTTGTTGTCTGTCTTGTAATGAGAGAGTAACTACACTCTCTGTTGAGAAAGGAGGAAAGGGCTTGCTACCTCACTGAGGCTGTGATGGCCAGGTGGAACAACTGCTGATTAGTGAGAGCGGTCCAGGAGTAGTGATCTGGGTTCGTCTCGCATTAAGCAGGGCCATCGTATTTGCAAGGGCACGGACTCGCTATCTGTTGTCCTGACAGGTATGAATGGGGCTGACCATCTGACCATGATTAGGCTCAGTGAGGTGCAGGCGCTGAAATCAGAGAGGATCGCGGTGAGGCTTGATCTTTAGAGCGGGGCTCAGGAGTCAAGATGTTATCCCAAGAGGATTACACCGCCCCCCTGCACTATATGCTTCGCTTAAGAGATGAAGGGGGTAACAATTGTATCATGCTAATTGCTCATTGTCAGTCTTATTCTGTCTTGAATAAACTAAGATACATTTTGAGAGTTATCTTGTTATATGACTGGCAGCTGGGTCGGCTTTATGTTGTTATATATAAAGCATATCGTGGTCTTCAGTTACAACCCCTGGTAATGAGTTGTGCCTGCTATGTTGTGGTCGTGGTTACAAGTATATCCTAGTTACTATGGGTTGTGCTGCATTTTGGGTTGATGTTTGGGGTGCCTGCCCATATGACGTGTATATTGTATCATCCTTGGGCGGTAAAAGTGATATCTGATTAACGTCTGAGTTATCGTGTGAGGGCTTATCAATGGGTGTTTGGTGTTCTACTGCCGATGGGTATTTGTGTGAAGGGCTCCCTTCGGTACAACCGATTGTTTGGATAGACTTTCTACGTGCGTATGCAATAAGTATCGGGATGATTTTTAGCAGGGTGTCA